AGGCATTATAGGTGTCACAGTTCTGCATTACTAGTCACCTGCTCACTTCTGCCTGCTCAGTCACCCAGCTCAGTAGTTTTCCATTTACCCTGGGTTCCCACACCTCTGCATCAGTCACGCCCACCTCATCAAAGCAACTCCTTTCACCTGTTCCTGATTACACACAGCCAGTATATATATCCCAGCCTCAGACACACTCTTTGCCAGGTTGTTCTTCATCACTCATGCAAGAGTCTCCAGCACTTTTTTCCAGACTGATTTCTCTTTGCCAACCCTGCCTGCCTCTGACCTGCCTGTCTCGTCTGATTCCCAATAAATATACCAGCCTGAAAATGGACTTCTGTGTCCATCACTCCTGTTTGCCTGTAACTGTTTGGCATCACCATCCATCAGCTGACCTGTGGTTTCTTGCAGTTCAGAAACTTTCACTGTGTTGCCACACTCGCCATTGTGTGTGTGTCCTGTGAATACTTACCTGCTTGCTTTTTGATCTTCTGCCTGACCTCAACCTACCTTCTGCCTGTCCCTTACTGGGTCGTCTGCTTGGACTGTGTACTTAGCCTATTCAGGATCTTCAGCCTCCACAACAGCCTTCTGCCTGCTCCTACGCGCTACTGTTGCCTGTTATTGAACTGAATGGTGTGTGTGTTTGGACAAACGTCACCGCCCACTCACCTGCTTCCCGGCCCAGATCGGCCTGCCGAATCAGCCAGGCTGCCAGAGACTCTGTGGAGAGACTTTGCTGAAGGGTTGAACTGCACTGTGTGCTGAAAACTTGCCCTGCCCTGAACCTGCTAAGCTGCAGCATTAAACGTTATTGCTAACTGTTCCTGGTTTCCTGTGTGCTGCATTTGGGTCCTAACACAACCCGTACAATAGGTTTATGTGATACTGAGGTATCCAAGTAAACCTGACAATAACAAACACCTTGTTTTCTGTTTTTTATCAAGTGTAATTTCTCAAGCTGAGCCATATTCAACAATTCTTTTGAAACCTTTTTATTGTGTGGTTGACGCAGCACCACCACACCATAGACTGGCATTATGCTGTATCATACCATGATTAATCAAAGAGAAATATGATTTCAGAAATGACCCCGTAGCCCAATTCTAAGCTCCCGTCCTCAGTCTGTAATGGAGTGCAGCGCATACGCCAGCACCCACGCTAACAGCAACGCCAATATGGTATTAGCCATTTCAACACCTATGACATCTTGTGTCTGGGCTTTACTCTTAAGTCATTTCTCAACAAGTCAAGTAGACACAGATGCCCAAAACAAATTCACCATTGTCATAATCCACGGGGCACAGCCCTAAGGCCTTTAGAGAGAGAGAGGGAGGGAGGGAGGAGAGGAGAAGAAGAATGTGAGAAAACAGAGAGAAACAGAGTTGAAAGAAGGGAGGAGGGAGGGCATCTATGTATTTGGTGCTGTCATAGAAAAATGCTTTGAGAAGGAGAGAGAGTGAGCCAGAGGGAGAGGTGGGTATAGGGAGAAAAAGGGGGTTTCCTCCCTGTCAAGCACCTCTCTGTAGTTGATTTATAGTTGGTCAGCTGTGGGCACTGTCTGTATATGTGCTTTTCTGTGAGTAGACACTGTATTACTGAATAAATGTAGGCCAGGGCAGCAGTTGGGGGGGGGTTCACAAGCAAATGTCTGCAAGACGTTCAGAGATGCAGAACAGGTTTATTAATTAATGCCAGTTTGCTGACAAAAGCAACACTACACACACACTCAGACACACACAGAGAGTCAGATTTCTCTGACACCACCCCCTCCAACGTTTCTGGAATGTACTGTCATCAGGCACACACCCTGTCAAGTTAAAACTCAATCAGAGAAGAGAAGAGAAATATGTATAAAATATGTTATGTGTTCAAAATATTTCAATTATATAACAGTGAAAAAAGTTTTCTCTGTAAAATACTGAAATAATTAAGTATCATATTGTGAAAAATACACCCATAAACCTGTGTAAATCTGTTTTTAAATGCCATATGTTATACAGTGTGTCTGGAGTTTGCACAGTTTCCTGCTGTCTGTTTGGGTTTCCTCCTGCTGTTCAAAGACATGTATCTCTGGTGCATTAGAAACTCCAAACTGCTGTAGGTGTCAGTGCATATGTACATGTGTTTCTCTGTTAATGTGTGTAAGCCCTGTGATTGGCTGGTGACAAGTTTATGTATTGCTCTTCAAAGATTGCTCCTCGGATGGTCCTTGTGCCCAAATTGGGAAGTCTTTCTTCTGACTTTGGTGTGTTTGTGAGCTTTTAAGTGTAATGTGGAAACAACCTAGATGCTATAAATAAGACGTTTTGTATTTTTTGCCCAGAGCATATAAAAAACATGTGACGCTATAAATTATTGATTTTGTCCCGGACTTGTTTCTGCACCAGTACGTTCTCTAAACCAGACTATATGAAGAGAGCACCTACTGAATCGCAGGCTATGGCATACGATGCAATAGCTTCCCATTGCTGCACAGGTTATTACTTCTTCAACTGTGAAGCTCAACATACTGCAGTGTGTCTGTGTTTGCTAGCTGCTAGGTTGCTCACCTTCCATGCTTTGTCCTTCTTTATGCGATCATAGTAAGACCTGGAGGACACATCATACAGGCAAGGCTCCTGCTGCCACAACTCCACAAGTTTTTCCTCTGTGCTGAAATCCCACACATTTCTTTTAGCGTGTTTTGCCTCCATGGCGAACTGCTATCCATCTTTTTGTTTGGGTTAAGCATCAGTGCGTCATTTCATGCTGCATTTCTATTAGTTGCTTAGTAGATGTAGATCGTAACAGCAGTCAGTCACACAGTGAGATAATCATCCCAAATTTCTGACACTGTCAGAGTTTAATCTTAAGACGTCTTTGATCGGAGAACCATGACAACGGCCATCCTTGAACCTCTCTCACTATGTGATGTAGGACCGCTGTTTTGGAGCCACAACCAAAGATATCACCACGTATCTTTCAAGTTAGTCATCTTTCATCTGGGACAGCCCAAAATCGCCCAATGTATACCGGGCTTAATACCATATTACAAATTACATGTGAGCAAAAAATTTACACGCAATACATGAATTAATAAAATATTTCTTACCATCATCCAAACATTTATTTTCATCCACCATGTTCCTGTGTAGTATGACTCCAACTCCAGCAAGTCATGTACCAACATTTTCACTGACTTTCCAACTTGTTGTTCCGACTTTCATGTGAATTTTCCCAGTCGGGAACTAAATTTTTCAGTTATTCCAACACCACATGAATAGGGTAATACCTTACTTCAGTAATTAGGCTATTAAAAAGATTCATTTATTGCTTGACTTATACTTTGACTTTCGTTAGACTGCAAATGTATTTCCACTTCACTCTGTATAATTTGAGGCTTAACAAAGAAAAAAAAGAAGAGGAAAAGGTCCAACCACACAACAAGGAAGGGATTAAGAGGATGAAGCATTTTGTTTATACAAAGAGTGATCAGACAAAGGCTTCCTGTAGATAACAAAAGTGATCGAGACAAATCTGGCAACATCCAAAGTGTTACCTAACCCATGTCAGGTAACAGAGGAGATTATCTGTCAGGGAGAGACAGGAAGAGAGAAAGCATGCCCAACACTCCCCTTTCCACTTTAAAGAAACTATGCTATCTCTGACTGCATCTGTTTGCAGAGATTTGGCTCTTTAGCCTCGAGGCTACACTCAGAAGGTTCATCTGAAGTTACAGGGTTATTATCTTTCCATCAGGATGCACCTACAGCAATCCCAGCACCCTTAGTTGTTTCCTCTGAGCTATTAGAATCACCAGGCCGGAGATGCACTGCTGCTCAGTAATAAGGACTATTGTGGAGCACAACAAACTGCAGAGAAGTCTCCGTTTATTTGTTGTAACAGCTTTTCAAATATGTGACCAAATGACCTCCAAAGTGTCACTTGGAAAACTTTTGTTGTCATTCTATTTTGTGAAGAAACTCCTTGACTTTGTATGTGGACCTTGATCTTTCCAGTTCTTATGTTTGTATGTCTATTAAACCAAATGAGAAGCAGTTTTTTAGCTATTCATTCCAGTATTCCTGTTTGATGTGAGAGTGTGTGTGTGTGTGTGTGTGTGCGTGTGTGTGTGTGTGTGCATGAGTGAGTGTCTTTGTGTGTGTGAGAGAGAGGGACAAGGGAAACAAAGATAGTGATTGGGAACATTAACACTGTTATCTGTACAACAGTACCCTCTACTGACTCTATACAGAATTTTAACTCAGAATGCAAATATTGAGCCAAACCATCTGTGAATCACTTTCTACAAATACACTACAAATGCTGGAGGTATGCGACAGGCAACTTCAATTAAACAGCTTACCTATCCAAGTAATATAAGAACTCTCATCGAAATTCAAAAGGTCTTTCCCTGACCGGGAATCGAACCCGGGCCGCGGCGGTGAGAGCGCCGAATCCTAACCACTAGACCACCAGGGACGGCGTTTGTGAAGGAGAAAGCATTTGCTTTTATCAAGGTCCAGAAGCGAAAATGTGGGAGCATTTGGTAGATAATCTGTTTAGAACTTGATGAATGTTTGACTCACTTAAGTATGCCATGCCGAGTCTTTGCGCTATTTCCCGAGCACATAAAGTAGACTACAGTAAGTCACAGCAGGTATCCACCATAGGCTGAGAAAATATCCAGCTTAAGTATCCACTCTAAACCGGACGGTTAGCATTACACTGCCCCTACTGGCCAGTATACGTTATAGCACATATCAGAAACGCCCCCATAAGCCATAACGAACTGCCTGATTCAAATTCCGGATTTCCGGGAACATCATATTTCGGTCAACAAAAAATCTAATATACAGCTCAACATGTATCTTATCCATATTCAAATCAATAGATACAATAATTTGTAAGTGGTTACAATCAAGAGAGAGATATTAAAAAATTCTAAACCGGCATTTTACGAAGCCCCTCTGTGGGGTCCTAATTGGGTCCTTTGTCAACGTGGGAGACGCGAAAATGTGAAGTTTATTTTGAACCTGTCTGGAATTTGTATCACCGGGACAAGGTCTCCAGTTTATGGAATATTAAGTAACGGCTGTGAGGGGTTTGGTGAAACCTGTCTTACCATGATGCCAGGGGACAACCAGTCCAAAACGGCCGCCATCGCCGCGGACGCGACGGTTGGAAACTGTCAAAACTGCTCTGTTTTGCATCAGGTCAGACCATCTCTCCATGACACAGGAGTTGATTAAAAAGTTGTTTCTCGTCTTTGTAAACTGAGCATTAAGTCTCCAACTGGTGTTACACGATATGTGTGTTTTTATCTTAGCAGTTAATGTGAATGTTGTTGGTAATTATGAATTATGACAATATTCGGTCTTTGTTTTGTTTCGTTTCTCTGTGTTTCTCATTACAGAGCCTGACAGAATATGTGTCGTCATTTCTGGCACTCAAACAGAAGATATCAGTTTCTGAGTAAGTATGATAATTACCATGGTGGTGAAATTACAGAGATAGCTTGTCTTTTGAAATAACTTAAAATATTCAGGAAACAAACACATTTTGAAATGAGATTTGATTTTACGGAGCCCTGGGCAAGTATCAGGTGTGACTTTAACTACCTAAATTTAATATGAGCTAATAATCTGTGCTTACTGAATATGAATTTCCTCCCTGATGTTTCTTAATGTGTGTTGTCTATGGGACGTTGTCTAAGTAAAACGCTAAACACTGATTTAATGGGAAAAGTTTGACTTATTATTTTAGAGTTTTGTTCTGATTTAGAGTTTGTTTACTAAGTAAAATGTAGTCACACATCACCAAAGATGTGTAACTGTATGCTAACGTCAGTCATTTCCCAACAAGCCAATGTTAACGGTATATAGCTACCTAAACATTAGTTTTAGCTTTTTGTCTGTTTGCTTTTTTCAGTTATCTGTTAGTGTTTTCTTTGACAATTTCAAAATCTCCAAAGATATCATGTGTGAATTTACTTTTTTTTCTAACGCTCCATATACATTTTACAAATAAGAATTAGTTAAAGAAAAGAAAATCTTAGATTTTGAGAATAAAGTCGTAGATCTATGAGAATAAAGTCATAACATCACAACATTAAAGTGGTAAAACTACGAGAATTCAGGTGTAGATCTACAAGAATAACAACTAAATATTATGAGATTAAACTTTACATTAAAAAAAAAAGTCACAGATTAGGACCGGAATGATGCGTGATCACCGATGGCAGCCTATAATGTAGTCTGTAATCTGACGCAACCTTCATGGGATGTTATGTCTAGTGGCGCACTGGTGGAGCAGTGTGGATCAGTGTGGATTAATGAAAAATGAAAACAGTGACCAGTTTTCAGGTGGTGACGTGTTACATGACATTATAAATGAAATAATATCATCCAGAATCTTGTTGGTAATTCATTATATTACTTTGGTGCTGCTAAAATGTATATTACTGTCACCCCCAACACTGTTTGCACACACTGTGTGGTCTTTATATCATGTGACCCAACTTTCCAGTCTTAATCTATGCACTTTTTTCCTCCTAAAATTACGAGTTTAATCTTGAAATATTTTATTCTCATAGATTTACGACTTCTATGTACGGCTTTATTCTTGAAATCTAATCTTTTTCTAATTAACATGGCCCTAATCCTCCTTTGTAACATGTTTATAATGGCAGCATCAATGAAAAAAATCTGATCCTTGTGTTGTAGTTTGTGAATGATTGGAAAAAAATCTTAATGGGAGAGGAGACTAACTCTGGGTTAAAAAAGAGTAACTCTTTCATGCTAAATTGCTTAAAGAATCTCAATATTCATCTTCCCTCGCAGTTCACGAAGACTAAATCATACAGGCGATGTGTTCTTTCTCGTTTCATGCAACAGTTCTTCATATGTTTTTTTGTAGTGACACGATCAGGCTTCAACAACAGCTGGAGGAGCTGCAGATCAGATTGGTTACTCTGGAGAAAAAGACGGCAGATTATGAATCTATGCAAGAAGAACTGGAGGAAAAGAAGGTATGCCCTCTCTCTGCAGAATCTCATTTAAAGGCTGTTTCTGCTGATATTTATAATGAATCTGTCTCTTAATATTTGCGCTACAACATAAATTCTGCCTGGCCCACTTTGGTGTCTTTTGTTTGTTTGTTTTTCTGCCATCATGCTGATATCCACACTGATTATTTTTCATAGGCTGCTCTTAAGGCCTATGTTCTGATGTCTGAAGAGATGGAAGAACTGAAGCAGCAAAACAGCAGGCTGGTGGCAGAGTAAGAGATAATTACGTCATAATTATGACAGTGCAGATAATGATAGTATATTATCTTTGTGGTAAAATGCTCACTCTTATTTCTCACTTCCTTTAGGAATAAGAAGCTTGAAGAGCAGCTCAAGGATTTGAAAGGTACTAGAATTCACATGCTGTAACTTTTATCAGTAAAGAGTTGCATATATTTTAAATACAGCTGTACTAATCTTTTTAAAAATGTATGAAAATCACCCCTGATTTTTTGCTACATTGTTTTTCAAACTCTTAGAATTGACAGAAACACACTCACTTGAAAATGCACAGCTGAAGAGGGAAAAGGCCGTGGTAGAAAATGATTTGCTGCTAACACAGGTAAGCAAAAAGTGCTCTACAAATACACTAAAGTCTTTGAATTTGCTGTTATCTTGAGAACCATCGTTCTTAGGAGCTTTTTATACAGAATATATAGGCTAAATTAGCTCAGTAAACTTCATAACCTTTGTCATCTTTAATTTTCACCTCTTCAGACATCTTTGAAGAAATCTCAGGCAAAAGCAGAACAAGTTGAAAAATTGATAGAGGAGAACGCCAGGACAACAAGCATGTAAGAACTTACACTTGGTTTCCAGATATGGTTTCTTAAACAGGATATCAATGAGTGTCATGTCTGTCTCTCTCCTGATGTGTTTCTTGTGTTATTTGTTATGAAACTTTGGTTAATTTTATGTTACATTCTGATTATCTATGGTTTGAGAAATTGATTTAAAACTACCGTGACTGTGCTAAAAGATCTCATGTTTTCTCATCAACAGAAAGAACAACCTTGAAAATAAAGTTAGACTGCTTGAAGGTTGGTATTGAAAATTTGGTTTCACACAATATAAAGAATGATATCATGTTCATAAGGATTCCTTGAATCCCTGTTGATAGGACAGAACTTGTTTGGTGGTTGATCTGTACACATTTTTGTGCTTATTTCAGACTCAGTTTGCAAACAGAATAATCAAATATCCCAGCTGACCAAAGAGAAGATCCTTCTAGAGAGAAATATTTATGACCTCCAGGTGCAGTAATGACCTTTTAATAAATAACAAATTGGTGGAAGTATTTTTCAGTAATATTGAACTGACCTTTTTTTGTGTATGACTTCAATTCATTTGCAGGTGAGACTGAGGAAACTGGAAAGAGAGCAGAGTAAAGGTAAACATCTAACAACCTGTTTCTTTTTGCAACAGCAGCATCTTTTCTGACTTAAAATTACAATCAAGTAAAATGTAAGCAATATCTGAATTATTTCTCGACAGATTATACGAGCACATCAACTCAAGCAAGTGTACCTGAGGAGCCTAAAGTTGACAAAGGTATCCAGTCAGCTTCTCTTATTATTAATTACATTCATTTGAGGAACATGCTTGCATTAAATCTAAAAGCACATTGTTGTAATTATTACTTTTGCTGTATGTGATTGTTTGTGTCTGTTTACCAGAAAAGATCCAGATGCTGCTACAGAGTTTGTGGGCATGTGTGGAACCTCAGCAGCAGCACTCTGCAAACCTGTTGCACTTACCTGGTAAGGCATCATTAAGCTGTCTTGTATATCTGTGCATTATCACTGACACAACTTTTGAATACTTTTGTTTTTTCAGTCGTCTTCAACCTTTTATCTTTTACTTCAACTTTTATTCCCTTATTTCAGAGACCAGGTCCAAGCAAGTTCTACCCTCCTCCCCACAAAAAAGACGGCACTCTCATCTGAGTCACGTGTCCCCGTCTACTTCTCACAAGATCAGTGATGACAGATACCCCATGCAGAGAAAAGCCAGTTCTACACAGTTAAAACCCTCTCCTCATAAGCAGAAAGCCATCGAGCAGCAACCATTTCTGCCATCAACAGGTGCCAAGAAGCAAACTCCCAAAAAGCCCAAGCGATTGTCCAAGGAACACAAAACTGAGGACTCATCTACTGACTTGGGCAGCTCTGAAATATCTGTTGGAGAGATAATGGCATTGTTCAAACCAATGCCTGCCTGCATTTCACCACTAGCAGATTTGGTGAAAATTCAGGTGTGTTTCTTTTGAATGCTTTTTTTAAAAAATTACAGACTAATATGTTTTTATTTACAATGTTAAGATAGCGCAAGTTAGTGTGTTGAGATCTCGTCATGGAAGAGATGCACAATGCAAGAATTTTTAACATTATCACAATGAACGAACAAGCAAATGTAAAGGAAGCCACAGACAATAGAATGTAAAACCACTTCCTGTTAACAACCACTTCAAGACGTGTTAGTTTATTCTAGAATATTTAAAATCTTCATTTGATCGTATTTTTGAATGACGTTGTGTTTGTATGTTATTACAAATTACATCTGTGTTTTCTTTTTCTTTCTTTTGTTCAGGACACAGAGATGGAATCTATGGAGACAAATGATGGAGAAAAGGAAACTGCCAAAATGTCTGATGACTCTGTTCATCATCAACAAGATGAGTCCTTACCAGTCACAACATCGGTAACAAGCCACTGTCCACAATCATGTACAACATCAGAGGAAGAGGTGGTCTTGCCAGTGGTCGCAACACAGGAATTGGAACATATTTCCAATAAAGACGTGGGACAAAATGAGTTGAGTGGCATTACTGAAATGAAGGGCAAAAACAGCACTGATGCTGAGGAAATGCCTCTTCAAAAAGACACGCAGACCAAGCAGAAGCCAGCTACTGTGTGTTTAGTATCAGCAACTTCTTCTACTTCTTCTTCACCATCAGACATAACTTTGTTGGTTGAGGTTGTCTCGTTAACGACTGAAAGTCAGGAGCCATCCTGTGATGTAAATCCCAGTAGCAGTGATGCCAAAAGCATCTCTCAAAGTGAAAATGCTGTAGGAACGGCAAAGGATGATCAGTCAGAGACAGCTTCAAAGATGGATGTAGACACAAGCGCTGGTGATGTATGCCCTGGTGGTGGAGAGTCACCTGGAGGATGTGATACAACTGTAATCTCTGAAGAAACTGGAGATGTACAGCCAGTTACTTCCTCAACATTCACCGACTCTGTGAGAGACCCTGAGGATACAGTTGGTTCAGAAATGAAAGAAAGTCATCAGGGCTCTTGTGGTCTAGGACAGGGCAGTCAAGATGCCACAGTCTTTAAACCCCAGGAGAATACTGGCTGTCTTGGCAAGGACACAGATGTGCAAGACGATAAGCTCTATTTGTTAAGCAGCAGCATCAGTAGTGTCTCAAATAAAATTGTTGAAGAGAGGGCTGAAAGTGACTCATCCATAAAACCTCTTGGTGAGGAAGAGGGGAATAAAGTGCAAGGAACTGGAGGAGTTGATGTTGCAGCTTCTACCTCAGAGTCAAATGGTGATAGTCAGCCTCAGTCTGCTCACAAGTCTTCACTGTTAAAAGCGGAAGATGAAGAGTCCCATGCTGACCAGGAAGCTGCTCAAGCAAATGTTGAAACTGATTCAAAGAAGGATGTGGACATAGAGACAATTGATGGTGAAATACTAGCAGATCATGGGCCTTCCCTTTCTGACTCACAAGAGACTGTTAAATGTGAATCTGTGAAAGAAAATATACATTCTGTGTGCAGGCAGTTGAGTCCTTCATGCCTGTTACCTAATGTAGAATTGCAGGCTCTGGAAACTCACCAAAGCCCAGAAAAATTAGATGTCGGGGTTAACATTGACCCCGTTTCAGAAAACACAAAAACTCCACAGGGTGTTTCCAATCTAAAAGAAGAAGGTGTCATTGAAAAAGCTATTGTCAAAGACTTGCCTCAGGATAGCATAGACGCAAGTAATCATAAAGTGAGCAGATATAACTTGCGCTCTGTTAGGTGCACTACCTCATTAAAGAGTTCTGCTGCCACAAATGGACAAAATAAATGTACAGAAATGCTTGAAAAACAAACCCCACATATGATAAGAGAGGGAATACCTAACTCAGTGGCAGGTTCAACTACCACTCAACCACCAGAATGGATCTGTGACGTTCGCTCCGAATTTGGCCCTCCACTCCCTCGTCTCCTAACGCCCGTGAGTACACCTCCGAAGGTGGGCAAGTCAATCAATCCAAGGCAGGCTATTGGTAAACTTTCATTTCCCTCGCCCATGGATAGAGTGGCTTCTCCTACCACTCCTGTCAAGGCCCACTCGACTCCAAACAGCCAGCAGCTGAATTCCTCATCTCTAAACAGTCCACTCCCTCCAAACGGAGTCCCCTCGTCACCACTTCAGTTCGGCTCTGCCACTCCAAAACATGCCGTGCCGGTTCCAGGTCGCTTGCCCCTGACGGCGATGCATTCTTCACCGTCATCTTCCTCCAGTCCCTCTCAGGAAAACTCCATGAGGATCCTTGACACCATGTACCCAGATCTCTCTGCGCATGCCCGAACTCTGAGCATTCTCAGAGGGAACGTCGGTCTCAGCATTTGTTCATCGGAGAGTGGTACAGTCCCCACAACAACCGATAGTCAGATGTCGTGCTTTAAAACTATAAACTCCACTTCAACTGCCTTTACCAAGACTGAAATGAGAGCAGGAAAAAGACAGGCCATGAATATGCCTCAACCTAAAAGCAGCAAATGTCTCAGGCTAGATAACTGCTCTCCTAAGGTCAGTCGCGAGGTGGTGCCTTCCTCCTTCTCAAACAGTGAAGAGGAAACCACCTCACCAGAGAAACCCGGGCTCAGTCTGCTTAAAAAAGAGACAACCGCTCCATCCATGGAATGTGGAGAACCTGCAGAGAAAAATCTTACAGGCAACTTTTTAAAGAAGATCGAAAACCAGTGTTTTGATCTGTTGCCTGTGATCCAGAGCCACCTGTTTGTTGGTAACTTGCCCAAGAAGCCTGTCCTGAGAGACGAGGAGAAGGAGGTGATCTCTGAGATTTGCCAAAGCAGCTTGGTGAGTATACTGGTTTATTAGGTTTATGTGTGGCATTTTTTCTCTCGTCATTTATCTACTGACTTAATATTGAGCCTCTTGTTCAGGCGATTTCTGTGAGTTTATTTGGTACTTGATTTTTAAATGCCTCATCTGCATAACTGAATCAAAGAAATAAGATCTTATCAGGCTTCATACAAGATTCTGTATGCAACATTCAGAGCATTAATATAGCAGCAAATCACTATTTGCTATGTAAAGATATAGTGGAGCAAGGGGCTATACACATGCTGCGTTTTTTGCGTCCTCAAAATCATTGTTTTTAATGAAGACGCGCAGCAGGCGGGTTCAAACGCCGGAGCAATGCTGTCGCCGGCATGCATGCTTTCCTAAGTGCCTATTTTTCAGGGTGCGACAGCTGCACCCTGAGAAACTGAGTTCAACTTTTGGAGCCCAGCAGCGCGCACCACATGTCGTGACAGGGAACAACCAGCCACAGCCAATACACATCTTTCCCTTCTTCTGTAAATATCAGTCTGTGATAAATATGGAGAAGTTGATCATTTTAGTGCAGGGCTGCCAGAGCTTTACATCTGTCCTATGGACAATAGACCTACACACAAACAGCACCTGGATGAAGATAAGTTCTGCACTTAGGATTTCAGGTAAATAGGCTATGATACGGTGCTTGTTACGGTTGCTCAGCAACACTAGACACAACCGGCTGCCACACTCTTGAAAGCTGGCACTTGACAAAAGACGAGGGAAGCTCCCAGTGCCCAACCTCGCGTTTTTGAGCTGGTTAAAGACGCATGTGTATGGCCCCTAATGGAGACCTGAACAGAGAATGAAGTCCCACTACCTGTGTGTGTGTGTGTGTGTGTGTGTGTGTGTGTGTGTGTGTGTGTGTGTGTGTGTGTGTTTTTATCCAAGCTTCTGTGAGGTTAGTTGTGTGCATGTGTGTATTCTGCTGGTTAGCTCCTTGCTGCCGCTTCGCACTTCACTCTCTCTGGTGTACCCCTGGTTAACACCATTAGCTCTGTTAGCATTGTTGCTGTTGTTTAGAGCTGTATGTAGAGTTAGCACAGTTAGCAGCTAGCCCCTGGCTCCAATAACTCATATACTCTCAAAAACGTATAGAAACCCTTTAATAATATAATAATGACTTTATTAAGGAACATGAGAAAGATCCATAGTGCATTAAAACACTGTTGTATTGACAACATTGTATTGCTACAATAATTTTCGCTAAAAAGTGTATTCTCATTTACAGAATTGGCTCTTTTCAATCTGTGCGTTAATTCTGAATACCCACTTTTTTGGTAAATTGCTTATGGTTTAATACAGACCAAGAGAGAGCCATGTGTCAGCAGTGTTTGTATGAAGGAAGTAAAGATATGAATGTAACAAGAGTAGTTCAAATAAAGCAAGCAAGTGGCTCCTCCATAGCCTCCTGACAAAAAGTTTATATTTTATTTATAAAAACAAATGCTTGCCAGTAGCTCATAAAATGAAGTGTGTTGTTTTTGAAATCTCTGTGTGTGTGAAATTCATTTGTGTGCATGTTGTCTGACTTTCTCTTCATCTTAAGGCTGATGATATGATTTTGGCCATCCTGAATAAGCTGAAAGCAGAGAAACAAGATCTCAGCAGTAACTACATGCAGGCCCTCTGTAGAGTCCACACAGGGATCTGTAGACAGAAGAGAGACTGGGGGAAGGCTCTCATCCTGGCCCACAGCCTTCTCACAGAAGGTTAGCAATTTGTGTCATACTATAAGCCCTCACACACACACTTGATACACCTGCACAGATACTTAAACATATTGTGGCTAACTAAGGTTTTTCTCTCAACTGTGAAGACTGTCTTTGTTGCAACCAGATGTTTTTTTTTTCCATTTAAAGCCATTATACTTGTGACCTAAGGCACCACATTTAATATTTTTCTTAATTGTGTCTTCCCTACTGCAGATTTTCCAGACTCTGCTAAGCTGATTTTGTTCATGGCGACAACATGGCCCAGTGTTCTCTCCCACAGTGGTTTTCTATGCAAGGCGATACATACCGTCACAAAACTGAAAGCACCAGAAAACCTCCTCAGTTGCCTTTCAGCGTTCCTTGGTTGGGTGAAGGTGAAGTATTTGTAGAGATGGGGTTCTACATTTGTCATGTTGTGTATATTTTACTTAAATGTAGCTTGTGTGATGTTTGTCCTCTGACTTTCAAAGGGAGTGACTGGGCAGGACGTTGCCATTTTATTTATTTACTTGAAATTTCAGACACTTTTGAGGGCATTTTTGCTTTATAGAGTGATGATTCTGAATTTGTGTCTTCGAAATCTTACTGTCTTTTTCACATCATCTTCTCCATCTGTCCTCTGTCAAATTAAGTTATGAGCACTCTAAAATGTTATCTCTCTGTACTGCTGCAGAATCCTCCCTGTGACATCGACATGCTGATCTCCAGAACACTATCTGACATGCGATCAGGGTCAAGCCTGGCTTTCATTAAACACAGTCGGTACGGGCATGACCTGGGGGCTGAGGCCTGGGAGCATGTCCTAGCACTGCAACTTCTTTGCACACACAAGAAGTGGAAGTGGACCTATGATAATCTATTGGGGTATGTTATTTCCATCGAACTGAAGCTATGGTGCCAAATGATTTTTAATTCATTCACAGTTTTCTTCCAAACAACATAAAATGTTTTAGCAATAATAATATGTATCTAATCTGTTACTTTTGCTTTGACAGGAGGGAGTTGTGGCCACTAATGAACACTTGGGTGTCACAGCCCAGAGATCAAAAAGCACCCATCTCTGATGCGACTGTTGCCACTGTGCTCCGACTCATAGGTCAGTTGCTTTGCTAATTTACCTGTGCATTAACTATAACCTGATTTGTACTTAAATAATCACCATGCTGAGAATTTCATAGTCTTTTGTTTTAAACAGGATACCTCGGTCAACTGGGAATCAAAGAGAAGTGTGTTTCCTCTGTGGTGACTGTCGCCAATGTCATCAACATGTTTGGTAGGCAGGGACAGACTGAAGGTATGAAATATGAAAACTTTGATTCAGTTTGGTTGTAACTAATACACAGTCTCTGTTGTGTGCTGAGTGCTGCCGGTTTCCCCCAGACATGTCATTCATTCATCATGATTTTTGAAACACAAATCTGATGTTTATCTTGTTCACGAGTGGACGCACAGCTACCTTCCTGTGTGTATTTAAAGGGGACCTATTATGCTCATTTGCTGGTTCATACTTGTATTTTGGGTTTTTACTTGAAAATGTTCATATGCTTTAATGTTCAAAAAACACATTTTCTTCATACCGTCTGTGCTGGAACATCTGTATTTAGCAGAGGTGGGGGACTCGAGTTACATGACTTGACTGGAGTCAGAATCAAGGTGCAAATTCGAGGAAGTGAAGCTTGCTCGACTAACACTGATGAAAGGCTCAACTTTGACTTGGCATTTATGACTTTAGACTTGAGATAGATGACTTGAAAAGACTTGGCTTTCCTTATTAAATATTTGTATTTTTCTATATATCAGGAAGTTCCATTTTGTTTTTGAAATATGACGACACATGTAGTATGTCGCAGCGGGGGAGGACCTGTCGGCTGATATTCATGCCCACTAAATGAGAGCTCTCTCCTCCTGCACAGCTCTCCTTGGAAGAATGGCAGTATTGCCCCATTTCCACCAAACACTGTCGGTATGGTACCTTTGAAACCAGAAGTAACCCTTCAGACATGGTACCTAGACTCTAGCGTTTCCACTACAAACCATACCCTTAAATGTGGGCAGGGTTGTTGTCACTCACTACTCAGTCCAGCACTCGCTGTATTTCCTCCATTATCAGTCTGCACCTCGTTTATCATCCACAGAACGAGTTTTCACGCCTATTTTAGAACAAATCAATACAGGCTGCAGTGAGAGTCTCTCTCCGTGGGATATTAAAAAATAGCAGCTTTGTGCATTTAGTCCTTCTCAGGCAGCTTGTGCATTGAGTAACATTATAAGTTAATGTTCCATCTTAAATATCCCGGCAGTCAGCCCAGTGGTTTAGCCATTTTAATGCCAGGGCACGCCTCCATATCTGCAGATAATCCACTAAAACAAGTTCCCTTTTGACACTATTTTGCAAGGGTACAGTCGCTGCATCATGAGCTTAGTGCTGCCTAGGATGATTGTGATTCTGTGGTTTAGAGAAATACCAGCCACAAGCACCTTTCTTGCTTATCGCAGAATTATGATGGGTTTAGTCAGACCTTTCCCCAGCACTGGCACAGCGTGAGATAGGTGTGGTTATGCAAAACTACGTGTACATACATACACCCTATTATTTGAAACTTTGGCCATGTTTAATACTGATGTCAAACACTGTAAAATTAAATATGTGACAGAAAAAAAAGGAAAAGCATAATAGGTCCCCTTTAAGTAGATTCCAGTATTTATATCTCTACCTGGCATTTTAAAGAGTGTCAAGTGTGCCAAATACATTCAAGAATAAATGTAATGCTCTGACATCCTAATGTGAAAGAGAAAAGGCTATCCAGTGGGTGTATTTTCATGAATCATATTGTCTTCTTTCCCCAGGTGTACCATGGGAGGTCCAGTTAGCAGCCGTCTACTGCATCTACGACCTGTCTCCCTGCAACCCCAAACAAGCCCTGGATGCCCTGGCAGAATGGAGAGGAGAAACATCTCAGAATGTCCCGCCTGCTGTCACTAGCTGCATTAACCAGTTAGCTTCTCTCTGCAGACAGGTAACAAGCTGAGAGAGATGCACATGCTGTACAAATCCACATTAGCATACATGTCAGTCTGTACCTATTTTAAACACGGGGTAAAAGAAAAAATCCCACGATGCACCTCAATGTTCATTTTAACTTTAACAGCCTGCCTTGGGTGCACACTCTAAGCTAGACTACACCCCATTTTGGTCACTTTCTAACACTGGTTTAAAGTAAGTTTTGTATTTGAATGTACTGTCAAAGACAGAAAATTTAGTTTTTTTGTTTGTTTTGTTTGTTGTTCGAATTAAAAGTTGTTCATATTGAACCAAATCATGTTGGCTTTGGTTCATTCTCTCCTCACCTGCCTCAGTGTAATATATTATAAAGCCATGAAATTGCTCTCTGTGGTTAAGATTTTCATATATTGGCCTAATATGCATCTTCAACATTATGTGCGAATAACTTATGTACATCCTACACTTCTTGGAAAAAAAACAGACTGCTGTTCATTAACACTCACGTTTAAAAAATGGTGAAAAGGGCAGCAATGGGGCTAATGATCCAGTCAAGTCACTACAACTATCAGGTTTTATTCTGCCTGCTCTGATCTGTGAAAAGAGGGGAAACACATATGAGCCATGATTTCCGGGGCTTGCCTTCAAAATAAAAGCCCCAAACCACATTTGAAACATTTTTTGAAGTATTCTACCCAATACCAGTGTCAAGTAAACATGTAAGGGTCGTATCACTGAAATGTAAAATGATTGAATAGGACATTATTTTGACATAAAAAGACAATATTTAAAAAAAAAAAAATCCTGGAGGAGAAAATGGTTTTAGGTAACATTTAGACAGGAGTTTGGAGTTGTTTGCATGAGATGCACTTTTTTGCAACAACTTGTATTATTAAAAAAGTAAATAAATATTGTTAACTTTTTATACTGAAAAAAATGGGAGGTACTTTTATTATATTTCTTCAGTTGAGATTAGGCCTATGTAAAAATATTTTTTTTATATATATATATTTGTAATAAATTGTATTCAGTCTAAAATGAGATGTCAGTGGTTATTGATCATGACAGGATCTAGCAAGATACCAGTGGTGCTACACTGTGTTCAAGAGAATAATGTGCATCATGTAAAAATATGATTTTGTGAATATTGTAAATATGTTTGTGTAAATAAATTTACATTCCTTTGTAACTTTGTCTTCGGCGTGTTGTTTGATATGACAGGCTACTTAAGGAAATAAATAAAATAAAATGAAAAATGAAAGCAATAGTTTCCGGATTTCCGGTCTGAACGGTTACCTTGCTAACTTGACGCATGTTTGAGTGTCGAGGGGTGTGTGCAAAGATTTAAATCCCTCGCACATGCGCATATGTTGATCCGTGCTGCTGGGTGCGCCATATTGGCTGGCTTACATGGGGAGTGGAGTTGGACAAGCCGCTCGAAAAACTAAACCAGTTTCTGAACATGAAGCATTTCGAGGATAACAAGTAAATTAGCACGGTAGGATTTATTTGTTTCCTCGAGTGCAAAGTGTTTAATTTGCCAAACTGCTCGCTCGTTTCCCCGCGAAGAGGTGGTCGACAAACTCGAGTCCAATGGATCCCAGGACCGCCTGGATCCAGCCGGAGCAGAAGGGACCTGCCAGCTCTCTGTGGATGCACATTTGGGAAACCCCTCAGGGATTTGGAGCAAACTCCGGCATCGACAACCACCTCCACCACCAGCGCAACTTTGCGGCGCATAATGCGAACTCCACGGAGTCAAACGGCGAGTATGTGACAAATGCAGCGCTGCCGCCGGGGTGTGTGTTTGGGAAACTGCCGAAGCGAGACGGCGGCGGGGAGAGGGGGAATGTCCGGAGGAAGGGCTCCTTGTCACCGTCCTCGTCCTCTCTGGACTCGGAGGCCGAGAGCTCTTCGCCTTCCGGCTCGTCTCTGCAAATCGATAATTTGAACGTCGCAGAAGAGGCCAGCCGGTTTTTACACTACGGCGAGCACGAGTTGAACGAGAACAATCTCAGACGGCAACATCCCCCTCCGCCTTTTCACACTGTTCAGCAACACTGTCGCAGCATGCAACAATCTGGCGGCCACACCCCCACCGGGATGAAAAATCAGCATGGGAACAAGCACCACCACTATCAGTCACACTCAGCCGGCCGCAGGAGGCATCTGAACCGGGCGAACACTTTCCACGGCATCAACCCGGTCCTGTCCTACGGCAGCAATGGACACCATGTAGACTCTTCGTGTAGCCTGTGGAAGACCAGGCGGTACAGCCCGGGTATCAATGGGTAAGGACATGAGGAGAGGTGTTGTTTTTTTTTTTTTTTAAGGAGGGACTCTTACAGAAAGGTCAGGGGTTTGCAAAAGAATCCCACCAGGTCACCCAACATAAGAGCAGAGGTATATGCACATTGTTTTCATGGATTAAAGGGGCATACTTTCAATAATCCTTTTCTCTGCATACATTGTAATTTACATGTGCATCTAGTTTTTAATTATCAGTTAGTCCCTCCAACAAAACTATGGCTGCATTTGATCAAAAATGTCTACTTTAATTGATTTAATTAGCATGTCAGTTATATTTATTTCATTTTATGTATTTATTTATTAGCAGTTTAAGTAGTTTCAAAATGCTTAAAGGTCTAGAGTGTAGGATTAGTGGCATCTAGTGGTGAAGTAGCAGAACTGCAACTTCTCCCTTCTGCCAAGTGTGTAGGTACGTGATGAAGCGAAAACACAAATAGACCTGTCTAGCGCCAGTTTTTGGTTTGTTGATTCTGGGCTACTGTAGAACAACATGGCTAACTCGGTGGAGAGGACCTGCTCTGTATGTAGATATAAAGGGCAAATTCTAAGGTAAAGCAGATGCATTCTTTTTCATTTCAGGTGATTATACACAAATTAAAACCTACCATTTCTGCCAATATATACCCCTAAATTCTACTCACTGTAAATATAAGTTAACTTGTAAGTGTCATTTTTAATTTTAGGCAAAAATCCATTTTCACATTATGTTCTAGTGCTCCAAACATTTCCCTTTTGTGTATAACCAGCAGTATATAGTCTCCATAGGCCCAGGCTTAATACTTTCCATGCTTTACTTTTCTCAAACACATCAAGCAGTACTGCTTTCCCTCTTGTATACTGGTCCATGATCCCAGATGTCCTGTCTCCCTTGATTCCTTACAGTCTTCATGAAGAAATAGTGGACTTTTTCAACTTCATGTCGCCGCGACCGGAGGAGGAGGCCATGAGGAGAGATGTCGTGAACAGAATAGAAAATGTCATCAAGGACTTGTGGCCCACAGCACGGGTGAGTGTTTGTAGGCATGGAGAGCTGACTCAAGCTGTGAGTCCTGTCTGTTGGAGCAGTAATCCCTCTGACCTACACATAGTGGACGACCGTGACCTGTCTTTAGGTTTTTAATGAATTACTGGAGGTGTACGACAGTGCTTGGTTCATGAGACCATGCTGTTTGTTATCCCTTTGCCTCATTCAGTAACATTGTTCAGATGTGCTGCTAATCATCCTGCAGCTTCCTGCTGCATCAGGAATTAAACTCAAAACCTTTTACATTAAAATTAAAATTGCAGTTGAAATTCACGAGTTCTCCATAGTAATACAAGTTCTCTCAGCATCATTACAATAGGTGATTCAGACATTTAAATCAGTTTAAAAAACGTGAGTGCTGATATTGTGTCAGAGATGATGAGTCAACCCTGGTCACTTTTAAGGTAAGTGGTAGTGTTGAGATGTATAATGTGTCAGCTCAAGGCCCAGACACATCACACCAACATCAAAGAACAAGTGGTGACAAAGGTCGACTACTGCATTGCCTCAAGTCGCTTGTCTTGGCCAAAAAGTTACACTTGAACACACCTCAAAGACTACAGCCAAGGGCCATCTAGCACGTACGTTCAGCACCTGCGTGAGAGGAAATAACTCACCATACCAGCAGGCGGCAGTAGTCTGTATTCTTCTTTCAAAAAGGTTAACCTGGAATACTTAAAAAACGGATTCAAGACACCAGTTAGCCTGTTAGCACATTACCAACACAACTCAATGCTGAAGGAGTAAAGGGTATTTAGTGTGCACTAGCAAACAATAACACATAAAATGTACAAACCATTTTTTTAAGAGCCCAGATGGCTGAAAAAAATATTCAAAGTAATTTTTCTCACTGGAGGTCTGTGCTGAATTGGCAGTCAAGAGCTGAGTAGTGCCAACAGTGGTGGACACACCGCAGAAACTAGAGTGGCAGACGCTTACCGATGGTACACTGTGGCTCACAAGGGCCTTGACAGTTGGCCAAGACAATACACATGAAAGCAGGCTCCACACATTTTACTTTAAAACACATCAGAATGCATTTCTACATCAAGATTATTCATAAAGTTTTATTTATTATTAGCATATTCCATTTGATTTGCAGCTTCTGACATTATGTAATGTTGGTTTTTAATACACCGTTTTAATTCTTCTTGTATTGACATGAGTTTATTGCTTTGCAAAGCTGCCACGGGCTGTTTAAATCAATGTTATTGTCTCATATACTCGGCCGTCAGTGTGTCCTGAAGTTTACTGCACTTCACGTATCCTGTTTGGCCACGCTGTAGGCAGTCAACAGCCTAGTTTACACTGCATGTCCAAACACAGTTGGCCAGATGTAATCATTATTCATGTCGCTTGCACTCCCAAAGTAACATTAGTGAATTATTTTCCATCGAATGTTGCCAACAGGACGTTAGACAGAGTGTACTTTGTAACAAATAGCATTTTTTGTGAACATTGTAAACATTTTGAGCTAATCATAGCCCAGTGAAGTCCCACTGGGTCTCACTTTTCTCTGAAGACCAATTTGTGTTAGTAGCAGAAATGTTTAATTTTTTGTGGGCTTTGGTCCCTGACCAGAAAAAGTTTATTTAACTTTCAAGCTGTCCTGAGACTACAGTCAGTATTAATATTTAATACCATTTTACAGAAATAAAACTGCACATGTTCCACAAAGACCGGCGTGTCATATTTGACCCAACAAGGCTTTTCATTGTGTTTAAAAGACTTCAAACTAATGTGCAGAAAGATGTGCACACACACATCTAAACTCAGAATTGACCTTGACAATTCAGTCTCAGTATGACAAACATATTTGTTTTGCCTTTGACACCATCTGCAGCATTTAATCTGTAGTTGTTGTATTGTTTTGAGAACTACTTGTGAAGATGGTACTAACGCCTACTGCAGCTATTTGCTTGTTGCTAATAAGAGAAGACTGTTATCAAATTTATTATTATTCAAGTTTGTCTGTACAGGTCATGATGAATCTATAAGTTTCACAAGAACCATAGTATGAAAGGATTACTGAACACTTCTATCTTAATTCTCTCCTGACCCGTTGCTCTGGTAGAAGAAAGCACAGAAACACAGCAGGCAGTAAACTTGCAGTATCAGTTTATTTAGTTTGATCCTACTCTCATTTGCAGTTAAAGCAATAATGTATAAGGCATAAAATACATTCAGGAGGGAGCTAGTCGAGCCAAAATGCCAACACACAAAGGTCAAACCAGCTAGACATGAGCTATTATATTAAAGTGTTACAGGTTAAATCAGGCTTGTATTAATGTGTCTTGTGCTCTGCAGGTGGAGATATTTGGCAGCTTCAGTACAGGACTTTATCTTCCAACAAGGTAACATTTGTTTGTGTGTCTCGCACAGTCCGACCTTATATGGGCGAGTTTTGAAATGTCTCATTGACGTGCTTGTTTTTAGGAAGTTGGGGCATTATTTTAGGTGGAGTGTGTTCATGTTTATTTTTGTCTGAGAGCTTCAGTAGTATAATGCCTTGCAGTATTCAGTGTTGCTGCTCAGTGGTGAAATTACAACCCCATTTTTCTGGAAATGTAGATTTTACTTTTCGTCATGGTGTCTTGTATACGGTGTTTCTGAAGGTCTTGTGGTTAAGAGGATTGCTGGAGGCAGGGCAAAAAGTTGATTTCAGTGTATTTGTTGTGCAGAGTAATAGCAGCAGTTAAATCATTTCCAAATGAAGCTGTTGGACTAATTTATCAGTCTAGCAATAATTACAGGGATCAGAGTGGGGGAAATAAGGCAGCTGTTTAATGTTATGATTAGCACTTATTCACTTAATACTCATTCATTTGGCCTCCATGATCAGCAACCCTGATTATGAATTAGGACCCCGTCTTAAAGATGACGACATCGTGAACGTATTCCCTGAAATGACTGTTTCCTCCTATGTTAATTCATCATTGCACTTTGTATAATTACAGTCTGTGGGAAGAAACTTCATTGAGAAGTCGCCGTGAAGCTTTTTTTTTTTTTCAGTTGAAAAGACAGAAATATTGCTTCCCCGCAGCCTGCAGCTACTTTACCATTTCTTTTTTGTTTTATCTTGTTCTTCCAAAAGTCTTTATCTGTCAAATTGTCTCATTGTGCTTGCCTGAATTAGTTACACAACCTAAAACTAGCCCCCAATCTGATGTTTATAGTGACCTCTGCAACATTTTGCACTGTGTGTAGACAGAATATTTGGGAAATAAACTTTTCAAGATACCACGTACTTTGTGTTTTTGTCCTCAGTGACATTGACTTGGTGGTGTTTGGAAAGTGGGACCATCCCCCACTGCAGGAACTGGAACAAGCCCTGAAGAAACACAATGTGGCGGGCCCGTATCCCATCAAGGTCCTTGACAAAGCTACAGTAGGTCATCAGGAGAGAGCTGAGAGTGTCTTTTTACTTTGGCAACCCACACAGTTGGGTTTACAATATTAGATCCTCGTCAATGACATAACAGAAGAGGTTGTGTCAGTGTGTTATTGTGAATGATGAAATGTTGATCGGTTCACCTCCCTTTAGATTGATTCCCAATTGACTCTTTGACCTATCCTCAGGTGCCAATCATTAAGCTTACTGACCATGAAACAGAGGTGAAAGTGGATATCAGCTTCAATGTAGAGACTGCTGTTAAAGCAGCACAGTTCATCAAAAGCTATCTCAAGGTAAACACTTGACATGAACACAAATGTTGCCTTTTTGTTTGTTTCTCATGTTTGTCATTTTGCTTGTTTTTAATGTTTGTCTTTTCTATCTTGTAGAAGTACACTGTTCTGCCACCTCTGATCTTCGTCCTGAAGCAGTTCCTGCTGCAGAGGGATCTGAATGAAGTCTTCACCGGAGGCATAAGCTCTTACAGCCTTATACTGATGGCCATCAGCTTCCTGCAGGTACATATATATCTACAAACAAGGCTTTTTTGTGTGTTAAACACTGCAAATTTTGTCAATTTAATTATGACCGTTGTGTCAAGCTCCCCATATTAGGATTGTGTTACAGTCATTCTTCAAATTGCCACATCTGTGCACACAATTATGGAAAAGTGTTTATATATTTAGCGATTTATAATTGAAATGGCATTGAAATACAGTGGAGACCATTTTAAGTAATCACAGTTACAGTGATCAACAGCTTATATGGATCATGGTCATACCTAAACAAGTACTGTCTAAATGATTTGTCTGTAGTAATGAAGTTGTCCCTTCAGTGTTCATTTGTGTCTTTTAATACATGACTACAAAGGCAAAAACTATTTCAAACTACAGTATTCCTATTTATTCATTTATATACTCCACTCCTATGGTACTTGCTTTGCAGTGAGTAACCTGTCTGCTTCCAGCTGGCTGTGTGCACATTAAAATCATGATGGGAAAATGAGTCATTTTCTCTCCATGAAAAACGTCTTCTTCTCGAGGCTTATTACAAAATGAGAAACTGTCACGGCTGCGAGTGATAGATAAAGGAAACGAATGCCCACAGGGAAAGCACCTGTGGTTGAAGGTGTCCTTGCCAAGTTGGTTAATAATGGCCGGTCATGAAACGACTCTGTGATGAAACGGCCTTTGATGAAATTCTGTGAATGTACAAATATCAATTAGATGGTAATCTATGTGAGAAATTGAAATAAAAGAAACATGATTATAATAATCATCCACTAAAAGCAAACAGTTTGACAGACAGACTGACGTTTTAAGAGGCTTCCACTGTAATTGCAATTTATAGCAGATTATGGATTTTGTGCTGCTTTTGTAAATGTACCACATAATTACATTCCCATTGTACTTTTGTTGAAAAATTTTATATAACTCTTCAGCATCTGAATGAATAACTTCAGTAGATCCACCAGTAGTTAATATTATTGATTGTCAAAGAGGTCAGTGGCACCGTATTAACATGTAATTTGGATGTGTGTGACAGAAGATCATTTTTATTTGTGGTGCACCGTTGTTTTATGCGTTCAGGATGCTGAAATTTCATTGTTTTAAACAAAATTTTGTGAGTGTGATGCATCAGATCATGTTCCATGTTATCGGCAAAATGCAGTGTCACTTGATACTTTAACAAATTATTACAAGTTTTAATGTTCCTGTTGTGCTGTCCATCAGGGAACTGATTTAACCTGGTTGAATGTGGTTACAAAGTTGTGTAGATAGTTGTGTAGCTCTGTGGATAATGACTTCTCCTCGTTCTGCTAATCACAGTTACACCCTCGCATCGATACCCGACGTGCCAACATCAACCTGGGCATCCTCCTGATAGAGTTCTTTGAGCTGTATGGCCGCGATTTCAACTACATGAAGACCGGCATGCGGGTGAAGAATGGAGGGGCTTACCTGTGCAAGGAGGAAATGCTCAAAGCCATGGGGAGTGGAAACAGGCCGTCCATGCTCTGCATAGAGGACCCCATACAGCCAGGTCAGATTGGAATTTGAATTAATGAATAAATGGAGAGTGACATGATCAATTCACCCATACATATAGAGAACAGAGAACCTGTTCTAGTTGTCTTATCCATCTGAATCATAAGCCTCCAAGCTTATCAATTCTTTTTATCAATGCTGGCATGTTTTTTCTGACAGCTGCGTAAAACAGTGAGTTAAAATTATGTGGCTATGCTGTGGAAACATGCAACAACAAAGCGTCCAAACTGTGGCTTCATTTCACAAAGAAAGATGACAACAGTCTTGTTTCATGGCGTTGCAGTGCAGCAAACTAGGTGTCACATGCTATGCAGAAATGGGTCCTTGCGATGAATGAATTTACTACAGTAGCACTCGGGCAATAACAGCTTTGCGGCGCCTGCTTGTGCGTGTCTGAGACAGAGCTGCTTGTTTGTATGAGGTGAGCGTTTGTGTGTGAGGTGAATTGATAGCTCACACTAGGTAGTTGTAGTCTATTGTGAGACGGTGCCTGGGAGCAGGTGATGGATATGTTTTATGAGATGCACCACTGAGGATACAGACATTTCTTACACCAGGCATGTATAACATAGACCTGCTGATGTATAATCAAACTACGCTGGACCCATTTATGAGTCAGCTGTCACGTCTGCAGTGAAAGTCATGCACTTAACTGATAATTAGAGAATGGTATAATAACATTAGGCTTCATGATTAATGAAAGTCTCTCTCTCTGTCTGTCTCTAATGTCCTATGTTATAAGAACAGTATGGCTACACAGGCAGACTGAGCAGATGTCTTTCTTAGACCAAGAGAAAATGAATAAAAATCTCTGTAGGCCTACTTTTTTCCACACTGCAACTTGATCAGGAATTAATGAGGGAATCGCTGAAGAATCAGACTGATGGGAAGAATTTATTATGGCATTGGTATCAGTAAAATTTTATAAATTGCCACCGCTAGTGCAACATAGTAGCAAAGATTTATCATCCTCCCATTTGCATGGTAAAGCATGACAATTGGTTTTAAGATGGCAAAGAGCAAGGACTTATCAAAATAGGTAAAAAGAAGCAAATGGATCACTGTAATTCAGTGAGACCGTTTTAAGTTCTTCTTTCAAACGTAGATGCATAGTTGCCATTTTGTCATTATGTCACATTTGTGAGTAAAATTATCCCCATTTTATCTTGATTTGACTGACAAATCCTGCTCTGAATTTTTCACAGGGAACGACGTGGGTAGGAGTTCATACGGTGTCCTGCAAGTCAAGCAGGTGTTTGACTTTGCTTACATGGTGCTGAGTCATGGAGTGTCTCCGCTTGCACGTGCTTACCCCAACAAAGAGTACGACAGGTTGGTTTCTTCATGAATTAAATAATTTCTTTGTTTTTGTTAAGTTTTTTTTTTTTGTCAGCATTTGTTTTAGTTTATCTGCTAGATGGCGTCATAGACAACATCTCTTTGTGTTGCAGTACTTTAGGACGCATCATCAAAGTGAGCCCAGAGGTGCTGGCCTACAGGGACTGGACAATAAAGAAGTGGGGAGCCAAGCAGTATGCCAAGCTGGAGAACCATGGTAACTTTGTGGGAAGCTTTGGGGGTTTGCATCTACTTTGTAATATTTAGACTAGAGTTGTGTTTTGCGATGGCTCCAGACAAAGTGACAAAATGTTAGAATCAACTTTATGTGGTGAATATGCTGTCATATGAGTTACAGTAGTATTCTGTTTGGTTCTAGATGTTGAGACCTGTGAGCAGGACCTCGCCAGGCTGATGCTGGTTTCTGTAGAGGATCAGAGAGACACTTCCTCCCCGCTCAGTGCTGACTCCCCCTCACCTTCTCCAGTCTTCCTCCCCAGCCCTCAACACCACTCGTCATCATCATCGTCTGCATGTTCGCTCTCTTCCTCCTCCTCTGGAAGTGATATAGTAAGACCAAAGGATATTTTGGCCATTCAAACATTTAGTAGATCAGTGACTCATTAGTTCACTGTAGTTCACAACCATTGTGGCAACACATGGGAAGAAAACTATTCCATACACAGGTGAAGTAACACTGTGTGTGTGTGTGTGTGTGTGTGTGTGTGTGTGTGTGTGTGTGTGTGTGTGTGTGTGTGTGTCTGTCTTTTACCAGGAGTCGGATTCCCCCCCGAGCAGTAATGCTGCTATCCAGCTCCACCCCCTCACCTTAGCCTCAGTCCATTCAGTAATCCAGATGGCTGCTGACCTGAGGGCCACACACCCAGCAGGCTTCATCCACACCACACCTCAGGTATGATTCAGAAAAGACATGAACTTGAACTAACATATTCTCAAATCAAACAGTTTAAAACCTATTAACTCTTTGAAAACAGACATCCTGCGGATCATTGTTTGTATGATCAGGTTTACAGTGATCTAAAATAAAAACCATAATAGCTAGGGAATTCATTATATTTGCAGCAGAAAGCTAAGGCTTCTGTCTTCCCGGTCATCACCTTACTTACTTTACCTTACATTCAGTGCAAACACAGTGACAACACATGGTGGCACCGGTATTTCTCCATTATGGCCTCAGGAGATCGTTGCTTGTATGATCCTGTTTAAATCGATCTAAAATTAAAACCATAGTAGCTAGAGAATTCATTATTTTTGCAGCAGAAAGCTAAGGCTTCTGTCTTCCCCATCGTCACATTACGTTGCTTCACCTTAACCTTACATGCAGTGCAAATGTGACAATTCATGGTGGCACTGGTATTTCCCCTTAATGGCCACAGGAGATCATTGTTCACATAATCCAGTATATACATGTCAATCTAAAATAAAAACCATGATAGCTAGAACAGCAGAAAGCTAAGGCTTCTGTCTTCCATTTCATCATGTTGTTGACGTTATAACATCACATGCAGTGCAAAACTGCGTTGTGGCGCCAAAGGAATGAATGATGAAACGTGATCAAAACGCCCTTGCATTCTGTTCATAAAAGTGAGCATATCTCAAAAACTAAATAATGTTCAAATAACTTATGGAGTGTTTGAAAATACAATGGTCTTGTTTTTGCATTTAAGAATGAATTAAGTCATTTATTTTGTAAAAATTTGATTAAATAAACATGTCTGATTTTGTGTATTTGTTTTAAACAATTGTTATATATGACATAATTTTAATACTTGTATCGATTTATTATGGATTTTTGACTAACCTAACCTTATCAGCTTAGGTATAGATTTTAGAGATACGAAGATGTTCCAAGAGATGGCATCAAAATAAGCAAAAATACCAGTGGGGGCACTGGTGTAAGATTTCTGTAGCAGAGGTCAAAGAGTTAACTTGGTACACAGATGTTTAATGTGGGCATGGAAACTGTGGCATTTCCCTTTTATCTTAAATATTTAAATGAAATTAAATTTGACAGGGAGGTCTGATTTTAATTCCCTCTGTTTCAAAAATTTACTCATGGTAGAATTCTCATTTATGTTCTGCTTGTTTTGTTTTCTAGGTCCAGATGTCTCTCCCAGAGAACCTAACCATCCCCTCGCTCTCTGATTGCCAGTTCTATCATGAAAATTCACCTTCAATCGGTGTTGTGCACCGCCACATGTCGCAAGCTGCACACATCTCCCAGCACACTAACTCCACAAGCCCTCTCCCCAGCCCCCTCCACCAGCTCCACCAGCCTCAGATGGAAGGGCCGCATAGCCACACTTACACCATGAGATCCAATTCCCACGGCTCACTTGAGCCGCACAAACTTGGCTTCAAGCACAACCAAAGCGGCTGCCTCCGAGGTCAAAATCACTCTCAAGGTAACTTCAGTCCCCAGCGGCAGTTTGTTCCCCAGGGTCACAACACGACACTGGGTTTCAGGAACCAGCAGCAGTACAACCGTAACACCTGGCGGCGCCGCAAGAGAGACAATCTTCCTGCTCTTAATCAGAGCAGATGAAAGACATGCATGACTTAACTGGCATTGTTTTTTTCGAAGACCACACTGAGCTCATCATGAGTCTTGGTGTTGAGGAGCCTTTAAGGATTCATGATACACCCGTTTTTTAATTGGAGGCTCTTAGAAAGGCACCGACTGTGTGCTGGAATTCATGAGTCAATTTGTCTCCCCAAGGTGTCGAATGATTTATCTCTGCTAGCGAAGTAAAGCTACAAGGCTCTCGCACGTCAAGGAGCAATGTCAAAGGCCTAAGTCTAAACTGCTTGTTTTGTCACATTGGTCTGACAGTCAGAGGCCCTTCCTCTAAATTTGATGCACACCAGCACAGACTTTGAGTTGATCATCGTGATTCCCGGGACTGGGTCGTCTCACGAGTGTCACTTTCCAACAGCTAAAGACAGGCTGGTTGGCTGAAGAGTTCGGTCAAGTATCGAGTCTCCATGCAATTTGAACACCTTCGAAAGCAACATCATGTGCCATAGTACTGAACTGGTTTATCAAACCTGGTCTCTCGAAGTTTTGACTCTTACTGGGCCTTTCTGATCAGGTTTCAGGCTCATCTGGCCTTCTGAATGCACCTCCCTGTTGGCTCCGCTCTTGATTCAGAGCTCTCACAGCTTGGACTATCAACTACAAATTGTACTGTGGAGTGAAGCGAAGCACTACCTTTCTACCTATGCAGCGCAACGCTGACTTGATGTTTTTGGTGTGACGGCACAAACCGGACCTTGTCTTAAAGTGCTTAAACTGTGACGACTTGTATGAATGTACCAAGTGTTTCTTTTTTGTATGTTGGTCATATGTTCTCTTTTTTTGTCACTGAGGGCTTTTTTTTTTGTTCACATTGGCACTACTATGTTTTGTTTTTGTAAACATTGCCACCTTATTTTGTTGTTTTTTTGTTCATGTGCAATAATTGCTTTTATTTAATTTATTTCACATTTTAGTTTTATTTTAGGGGTTCTCCCCGTTATACGGTTGCTTTTTTTTTTTTTTTTAAATTTCTAGACATTGATCTGTGCAATAGATGGATTTAAGGGCCTTGAAGGTGTGTGTGTGTGTGTGTGTGTGTGTGTGTGTGTGTGTGCATGTGTGTGTGTGTGTGTGTGTGTGTGTATACTCAGCTTTCCAGCAGACAGGAGAGCTATGGTAAAGCAACATGAGAAATGTGCCAAAAACGACATGAGGCCAACATTTTACATATTTAATTTACCATTTCATTATGATCACTTGAAATTTTTGCCAACTGCCTGTCCAAATGTTTTTCCACCATGACTCATATCACTCTGGTCAGTAGTTTGACATTTATTTGGGTGCGTTTCCTCTCAATAGACTGTAGGCTGTACTGAAGAAATGCGCCCTTACGTAGTGTTTACTCATGTCATTTCAAAAATAGTTGGTGCTACTTATTACCAGCAAAGTGCTTTTTTTCTGCCTTATATCTCCTTTGATTCTGTTAAAGCAACAGGTTAACTGCCTTCTTAAATGACCAAATTTGCCCTTTTTCCAGTACAAAGCCAGCTTTCTGTTTATTTCTACGAGCACTGCCAGGTTTACTTGGCTTTTATTTTTACACCCAGCTTCTAGATGTACGCTCCAGGAGTTGACTCCTACTGCAGCCAATGATTGTTAACATTAACATCATGTCACTTTTTTTTAAATTCAGAGGTCATAATTATAAAAGGCAAGAGGTTGTTACATTTCACAGGGATTCTCCTCTTCTATATTTAAAGTCAGTATTTCTACATCTTGTAAGACAAGGTTTCAAAGCTACATAATTTACACAGCAATCTGAAAGAAGACTTGAGCGTGGAATGTCACAGATTGACCATTACTGGAGTTTTGGTAGAGCCATTCACAAAACCAAAATTTGGTAGAGGTATGTATGTTTTAAAAGTCTGTCCTTACTGTAACACTCTGCACACCAGTCTGATTGAATTAACACGATACTGTAAGCATTGTACCCTCGTTTTCAGTGCCGCTTTTATTAAGCTGTCTAGAGGACGATCTTTGGGTTGTTACATCGCATAGCCATGAACCAAATTCCCAGCTCAGATGTGTGTAATTAAGGATGGGTTATGTGTAAATGACTGACATATAGATGTATACCTTGTTTTTTTTATGTAAGTTTTTCTATTTTTTTAATAAACCTTTTAAAACTCCACTTACAGTTTAGTGTGTATGTTATGTGTTTTTAATGTGCTCAGTCTACTCTAATGTTGGCCAGTACATTGTGGCCTGAAGGAATACCTCACCCATAAAATAATCATTTGTGTATCAATTACTCACCCTGGGTTACATTGAAGTTGTGAAGAAAACTTCTTGCATGCTTTTACAGTGAACGAAGAATCCAAAAATGTTCTTTCTTGCTGAATTGAAGTCATAGGTGTCTGTGATTAACAACAAAATGATATCAAACATCCATTTACAAGCTCTCACACAATGTCTGTAGTATAAGACAAGGCTCATTTACTCAGTTGTATGCTGAGATCTTCCCAAACACATTTTCGTAAAACATTGGCTTTAAAGAAAGCATAGGGAAGTTTCACTTTCACTTCAGTATTAAGTACTAGACTCCACTGTCAAAAACAGTAACAATACTGTGTTATGGAAGTACTGAGCATACGACTGGATAACTGAGACTTGGATTATGCAACATTTAACCAAACAACAGAAGCACACTACAAACGCCACAAATCATCCACAATACATTGTGGAACTAACAGTACCATGGGAGGCTGCAGTTGGGGAAGCTTATGAACGCAAAAGCCGTGGCTGGCGTACCCAGGTGCTCCCTGTAGAGTTTGGGTGTAGAGAATTTGTAGCCACATCATCAACCAGGCTTATGAAGAGTATGGGGGTTCGAGGGCAGGCCTTCTGACAAGCCATCAAGTCACTATCAGAGGCTGCTGAGCAAAGCAGCAATTGGCTTTGGATGAAGAGGAAGGACCCCAATCCATCTGCAAGATGTCCAACATGAGGGGTAAAAGCGGAGGGGGGCACACCTGGGACGCCAGATGTCACCGCTGAGCCCCCTGTAGGTGTCATGGGCCTATTCACGAAACACCAATGAAGGAGGGTGCCCTTCTGATGACCCCTGATCACCCCACTCAAGACACAAGACGCCAGGCAAGTGCTGATTACTCTTAGGGACTGTAACAAGTCCTATAAGCTCAACTAAAATTTGTGCTGAGTCCCAGGATATAAACTATTTCATACAAAAATACAGAACATTTAACTAAACGAAACCACACTAGAAACGCCACAGATTACATCAGTTTTCACGAAAATTGAATGCAGTGCGACAAATTGATCTTTCCTGTTGCGCTCAGCGTTCAACGCGGGTACACTGAAGCTACTTAGAAGCCATGCTTTGATTTAATAGGTTGACACAGTGAGGATCAAGAGTTCCTCAATCTCTTTAATCGAGTCTATGGGACTCTGAATCTGTTGTGTGATGGCAAAAGCTAATATTCTTCAAATAATGTGAGAAGGGTCGGCAATAACGTTGCTATTGTTCCGAAGTTTCTCAAGAGTGGAACTTTCTGCTTGTGTTCTTTGATGATACAGTTTGAGGATAGGATCTATTAACATCTTTTACAGTATGACAAGTTTTTCTAATTCAACAACCCCAAGTCCCAGGTTCTGGAGTAGTACAATACAGCTACCAACATTTTCGGAGCACCTCATTCTCGATCATGCTATACTCTTGGTTCAACAATCAGGGACACTGAGGAGCGCCATCACTCTTCTGGTGTGTTGTAATTCCTCATGGTCTCTGATGGGGGCACTGGTGGATCACTGCTCAGTCTAGCTGCATCCAATCCATTACCTTCCAGACTGTCAGCAGGGTGCAGGGAAGTAGAACGTACGAGAGGAGAGGGCTTCGACAAAATCACTCCTCCTGAAGGTTCAATCATCTAAGGGTTACTGGCTGGAACGGTTGTCATTTTATTCCAATTAAAACCAAGGGGATAAAAGTGCCCTCACTGAGACCCCTTTTAGCCTTTCTTGACTCAAACTAGCTGACTAAGGCACTAGGAAATTAGATCCAGCCTCCATGTCGTCATCCACTCTCACAGATCTGTCTTCATTGATGATTAAATAGAAGTGATACTTTGGTGCAGGCTATTGTTCTTAATGTTGTTAAAAGCTGGCTCTTTGTTCTTGAGGGATATATTAACCAGATTAGACTGGCAGGGAAGCATTGATACTGTATTGAAAATCTGCACACACACAAAAACACACACCCACAACCACACAGAGTTCTTCACCTGGGGACCAGTATTGTCAGTGTTAAGATGAGAAATCCAGCAGCAGTCGCCTGTGCAGCTCTAAATAACAACATGGCATGTGTATATTTTAATGCATGTCTCCACACGGAAACACACGGTCTTCAGGGACAAAAAAAGCAGCCTCTTCCTGAGATCTGCGGTTAGAGGACACTTTTTGTACAAGAGGCTCACACGAGGCCTTGATTCGCACTAGAACACAAAATCAAATATGAGCTGTTTAAGCAAGGAAAATGATACCAAGTGTTAAAAATCTGAACTTCAATGTGTTGTTTCTCAAACAACAAGTCAGGACATCTCTCTGTAGTTGACTCTTGTCTTCAACCCGGCTGCAGTGGGAACAAAGATAAACTTTTCATAACTTCTTCCATTCCAATCAATACAGCATAAATGTGAGAAAACCAGGCGAACTGAAGTAAACAGAGGAAGTGCTTTGAAAAAAACCTTTCTTCCAAATCCCACTTGTATGAAAAAATAAAGTTCTCCTAAGAGAAGGTTAGTAGTTATACCTTCAGGCTGTTTGTGGCTGTCAGTGTCTTGACAGTAGAAAATTTGCATCTCTTCCTGTGCCAGTCCCACGCACTGGCCCTCCGCAGCGTGATGCAAATCGGCATGTGGATGTAATTAGTGTTTGCAAACAACATTGTTCAAATGACAAGTCAGTGAATGCCACGATCACGACATGTCAGTTAAGTCTGGAGTGTTATGCTGTCAGGAGACTCCATTAATGTATTCAGACTGACAGACACTTTTGAAAATAAATGTCGTTTCTCAGTGTCCTTGGTTTCTTCCTCAGGCCATGACAGGACTGAATATTTATGCACATGGTTGTCATAATTGTAATAATTCCTCTGTTATTGGATGAGAACAGCTCTGCATGTGCAGGATAATACGGAAAGTGGGTGAGCAAATGATTTAACAAATTGCATCCAAATTAAAATTGTATTTGAAATGAATAACAATGCCACATTTGACCTTAAAGTTACAAATATACAAATATATATGAGCTTAAAAATACAATAATTGATTTTTTTGGCAGCTTGGGGGATGCTCCTTAGGCTGATCACAACATTGACATACAGTATTATTACCACATGGTTATACCTTGAAAAGACAGACATTTTAGCAAAGAGTGGTATGTCTCTGCAAACCATGGATATATTACATTTGTTAATTTCATATGTAGCAAATATGCTGACACTTTATGTGTCAGTTTTTAATATTATGTTGTGACAATGCTGTGGTTAACGTGTGGTTAGGTGTAGACACAAAACACATGGGTTATGGTTAAGAAAACATAATGTTGTGGCTTGAAATACCCGGTTGTTGTTGCCACAACTACTGCTGGACTTCCACGACATCAGATGAATTAGGGGAGGATGGATACCGAAGTAGGGTGTGTCAGTGGGAGGTGCTTAGGTTAGAAAAGGCCAAGCTAGAAGTGTGTAGGCCTCTTTGTCTTTCACCTTTTGTTTGAGGCACTCTCTGAGATTCAGGGTAAGAGGCACGCAGTCATTTGATTTTCAAGTGTCATATGTAAAGTCAGACAGGAAATGTACATCTTTGCACTCCTCTTAGGAAAGCTGATTTAACACAGCCAGTACCGACCTGAGGCATAGGCAGTATAGGCGAATGCTAAGGGCGTCGTCATCCATAGGGGGCGCCACAAATGGGTGAAGAAAAAATAAAGTTTATGTTTTACTTTTTTTTACTACCATTATTACCACTATTATTTTTGAAATATTACATAAGGCCACAACAACATAACTCCATAACAAAGCTTTCTTAATAATAGAGAGGCCTTTTTCTTCTAGGTTCCTGCTGCAACCACCCCAGCTCGTTACCAGGGGGAGGCTTGCCAAGGGCACCAAATGTGCTAGGGCAGGCACTGAACACATCCCTGACCACTCAAACAACACATTCTTACTCTGACCTCGTCACATGTCAACGTTTGGTCATGGAATTTCCATACGAAGATACAATGTGCAAGGTACCCTGGGTGCGTTGGTTGTTGAGATTCTGGGACGCCATGTCAACCTTTGCCTGTTACATGCATTGTCTGTTTCCAAAATACACCTCTGTTTTCACAGGAAATGTACAGTTTGCATACAGTCTCTTTCAAAATAGACATTTTTTTCCTTCAACAACAAAAGCACATGGTTGGGTTTAGGAAAAAACAACCAGGTTTGGCTTTACAGTCTTACAAGAAGCAAACACCGGCCTCCTGGGTAAAAATGTCAGTGGTTGTTGGACCCATACACCACCCCTTCCATCTGCCCTACTCAGACTTCCGCCACTTTGACTTTTATTGTTGTCCCACCACATTTCCCCCTGGCGCCATGTACCGTTAAACAACAATAGCGACCTGCTGCATGTCATGCCAGTGTAAAAAGACGGCTTTTTTCATTGGTGTCTGACGCCACAAGTCACTGACCAAGCACCAGTTTTGATGACTTTGGAGTGAGACTGGGTTGACTTAAATACACAGCTGTGTTAATTCAAAGTACTCAAAGTCATTATTTAATACTAATGTTAGTCAGTAAAATGTCATGACGTTTTCCATGACTACTGGGAATTGTTTAATCTGCACACCCTTATGGCTGCCTGGTTTGTGAGACCTTTAATTACGGTGAATCCTGAAAGTGTCTATTAATCAAAGAGGATGTGAAACTAAGATCTTTTTACATTCATTATGGGCTCCAGATAATTTGTCTTTGTCTTTTAATTCCAGTCAAGTGCAGATTATTATCCATTTGATTGTATTGTTTGTTAATGCTGCCGAGTTTTTAAATCTTTTTTAAGAACATTAACTCTGGTCCTTCTGTCCCACTGTGGGGTTTCCTGGTGGCAGCCAGTAGGTGCACAGGTGACA